GTCTAATTAGTCAATTCATTTCAAATTATTGCTGCCAAATTTCAAATTACTATTAACAACACTAACAAGGCTGATTGTGCTGATGATACTTATGGCCAAACAAGGAGGGACCTGAGTTTCTCAGGTTCATTACATATATATGTACAGAGCAGTCCGTGTTCATTCCCTGAAAGAACTCACAGTTTACGTATCCCTGCATAGGATGGATTCAAAGATACTAAACACAAGAAAGGGATCAATATGAGAGTAAAATTGGTCTTAGAATTATTTTAAAACCTTGATTATGTCTAAGCATCTGTACAACTAACAACTGTGGGCTATAAGAATAATAAAATATAGTTACTCATCAGAGACTTTTTAGGAGATTGATATCTAGGCATTCACTGTGAGACAATAAGTATATTTAACAGTAGCTATTGTATTAATACAAACGTAGTGTAAGTAACATTTGTATTTCTCCCCCCCCTCTGCTCCCAACCCGGTATCAGGTATCTTAACACACTCTCTCTACCCATTGCACTGATGACACAGAAACTGGAGCAGATGACTACTGACATTTGGCAGGAAACTGCACTTGCAAATATCAACTTAGATTCATTACAGTTAATCACAGTTTTGTCAAACAATATGATGTCATAGTATCCGAAGTAAAAAAATGCCCCTTCTTGTCATACAACCTCTTAGTTATTGTCCTAAGAACATGCACACATGGGTTTCTTTTATTTCTGTCCTGATCCTTCATGTAAAAATATTACAAAAGCATGTAACACATTTAAGTCTTGGAAATACATCATTTGGAATTTACCCTCTGGGTTATCATTAAAATGTAGAAGAAAATATATCCAGAGGAGCCAGTTCCATATATATATGATAATACATGACCGACTGCCTAGCAGACAAAAGCACCACTCTTAAAAGACATGCTTTCAAATTTTGGAAGTGACTTCAGTGGACAAAATTTACCTCTCTTGCTATCTCTGCACACTTAGAATATTCTAAAAGGAACATATACACATTTGTTCCATACTTCTAGCAAAGTCTTTCATCCTTTCTCTTGCCTATGTCTGGGACCATTTTTAGAAGCGAGAAACATTGATTTCTTAACAGAGCAACTTTTGGCCCATCTTTGCTGATCTTGGCACCTCGTGAACAACTGGTTTTGTGTTCTTCACTCCCCCAGGTATCTTTCATGTGCAGATTAGAAGTCAAGGGCCAATGAGTACCTTACTCTTTCTTCATGTTGGTCGTGTATAATGTGATCTTGGTCTTGACAGACTATTAAAAAGCACAGTAAAGCACTGGTACTACTATTAAAATGGAATATACTCGAGGAAACAAAAAGCTTGAATGAATGAATGACTGAATGAATGAATAGCAGTGTTATGACAGTTACACATCTGATGGTTCCAGATAGAAAGACTCAAAAAACTGTGTTCCATGTTAAATCAAGTAATAGATTTTAAACAGATCATAGCCTGGTCTCCCACACCGCATACTGCAGGACACAGAACCACACCCAAAATCTCAGACATCACACACATGGATATCAGCATGAAATAGAAAAAGGATGAGTGGTCTCATCTCTTAAATTATGTCAAGATAGCAGGAAGTTTTAAATTCTAGTCTTGATCCTTCCACTGACTTGAGAAGGTAGTATAACCAGTTTGCCTGAGTGTCACCATTTAAATAGTCAGAGTACTTACTTATCCCACAAGGATACTGTCAGGTTTAATTAATTATGTCTGTGAAATCCTGTCTAAATGAAAAGTGGCAAGCATGATTTATTAACTAAGTCTAAAACACCACTGCAGAATCAGAGAGTGATCATTGTTTTATCAAGAGAATAACATTTCTCATAAAATATATTTCAAATGGGAAATTATAATAACAGCCCTTTTGACTTATTTAGACGTTTCTGTGAGGAGCAATGCAATAGACTTTTGATGAGTTCTAGGAATAGAAGTGTAATCAAGAACAAGAGATACAAGAACACTCACCCACTGACATTAACGTGGCACCAGCTAAACGGCATTGCATAAATCATGAGAGTGGGGACTATATATCCAGCACTGCTGTAGGGCAGAGCTGAAAGAAAACTACTCCTCTGCCTATGAAATGTCTCTTGCTTGTAGTCTGACTATGTGCACAAGTCTCCTACGTGTAACCAACCAACCAGAGACCGCAGCACCAGCGAGAGCATGGCATTAGTAGTAGCATAAAACTACCTGTAAGGTGGTGATGTATGATCTACAGAGGGCCTGATTTATGTCAGTATGACTCCACTGCTGCCAGCTCTCCTGCTCACAGGTGTATCACAGCTCTAATCTGCAGGCAGAATCCAAGCATCAGTTCGGAATGGCAAGTAGCTGTCGTTGATGTACATCTCTCGGGGTGCAGTGGGCCCTCTTTTTTGGTCCTCTTTTCACCATGATGATACAAAAAACCCCACAGATAAAAGAGTAGACCAAAACATTCAGAGACCTGTGAATTACCCTGATTCAGCACATCCACTGGACAGTCCTGTGGCCCAACTCTTTCCTGGACAACTCCGCCTATTTGGCCTGTACTGGCAAGCTCCACACTCTCAGTGCCAGGAGCAGGAGTTTCAGAGGAGGAAATGATTCATGACCTCAGAATGTAAGTGAAATCCCACAGATCTAAGAAAATACCTATTCATCTGCATATATATATATGTGCATACCTCACATTTGCCAACTACATTTCAACCAGATACTGCAAATAAATAAAACCACCCCAAATCGAGTAGAATTTGGCATCAGGTGGGATGCCACAGACATGACACCTGATTATAAACGAAACAAGCAGTACCATGTGACTTAAATTACAATGTCAACTGAATTTGGGCCCAATCCAACAAAAAATAACCACAGCTTTTCCAGGCTACAGATACATCAGGTTTGAATGGCTGCACTGTGTCAACATGACATGTAATTTGGAAATATCAACTTGCTATAGAAAATAAAGGCAGTAAGGGATTGTCTATACTGGATCAGAATCGTTTACTAAAATATTTTAGCTAAAATTATTATAATGTAAGAAATTGTGGGTGACTTGATTTGTGAGTTGGCCAAGGTAAAGGTATGGGAAGATCCCCTTAATTAAATTATTACTCATTTGTTTACACTTGCAAGTGAAGTCCCCATTTCAAGTCATGCCTCTGCCTCTTTGTTTCCCAGCATCCTCCTTATTATCACATCAACTTAAGACAGCCATGCACAAGAGCCACTTATCCATGCTGGCACAGGCCTGGACAAGCAGCACAGCTCTCCAGCAAGCTCAAAGGGTGGGACAGTCCCGAACTTCCTGGAACAGCCAAGCAGCTCAGACACAAACCCCATCTTTCTAAAACAGCGTCCATGCTTAAGAACTGGGTTTAGCTGCAGGCTCTGACACAGGAGCCTGTCTCACTTGTTAACAGGGGGTTTTCAGGGTACCAGGTGCCCCCCCTGGCAGGGGGGCCCCCACCTTGCGGGAGGAGCAAACCTGAAGAGGGCAGATGACACCATGAGCAATAGTCCTTGCCCATGTTCCTACTAAACTAAAAGGCACTGCAGGTAACACTGTTATTTGGAAATACAGTGACATGTATTTCATGCTGCAGATCTCAGGGTAGTCCAACCACATCTTTGGTAGTGTTTGAAACAGTTCCCACCAGAGACACCTGGCAGCAACCCGCCTTCAAATATCCTCTGGATGGATATGCTGAAAACATGGAGGAGATCTGAAGCTACCGAAAAATGCAATGGTTGCACTGACTGGATCACCATCTGTAAACATACGCTGTAAACACACTTTCCTGGAGAGGTAGAGGTGTGACTTTTTTTCACAACCAATTCTTCAGTCTCCTGCATACAGGTAGTTACCACACATCATGAAGAGTTGACTGTGGCCTCCTGCTCCAGATCATCTTTCACCCCAATTTAAATTTTATGTGACTATGTAATCAAATCATAGAATCATAGAAAGGTGCGAGTTGGAAGGGACCTTAAAGATAATCTAGTTCCAACCCCCCCTGCCATGAGCAGGATAATACCTACTAGATCAGGTTGCTCAGAGCCCCATCCAACCAGGTCTTGAACTCTTCCTGTGATGGAGCATCCACAACTTTTCTGGGCAACCTGTTCCAGTGCCTCACCACCCTTTGTATAAAGAACTCCTTCCTAACATCTAATCTAGATCTCTTCTCTGTCAGTTTAAACCCGTTCCCCCTCATCCTATCACTACAAGCCCATGTAAAAAGTCCCTTCTGTCTTTTTTGTAAACCCCCTTTAAGTACTGGAAGGCCACAATGAGCCTTCTCTTCTCCCGGCTGAACAACCCCAATTCTCTCAGCCCGTCTTCATTGGAGAGGTGCTCTGGCCCCCTTGAGCATCTTCCTGGCCCTCTGCTGGAACTGCTCCAATAGACCCACGTCTTTTTCTGTGCTGGGGGCCCCCGAGCTGGATGCAACACTCCAGGTGGGGTCTCACCAAAGTGGAATAGAAGGGCAGAAACCCCTCCCTCGACCTGCCAGCTGTCCTTTTGGTGCAGCCGGGATGCGTTTGGCCTTCTGGGCTGCGAGTGCACATTGCCGGCTCGCGTCCAGCTCCTCATCCACGAGAACCCTCAAGTCCTTCACCACAAGGCTGCCCCCAAATACCAGAGTTTGGGGCCTCTCCCCGTCCACATGCACAAACTCATGCAGGAGTAAGCAAGGCGAAGACGCCACGGAGACGGAGCCCCTCGTCCTGCAAGTCCCCGTGTGAAATTTGCGCAGTGTTTGACTGGACAATTCAGGGCTGCCCCTTCCCATCGCATTTCCACGCGGCGCTTCCAGCCCCTTCCCCGCGGCGGCACGAGCCTCCCCGTTCCCGTTCTCCCGCTGCCGCTCCCGCCGCCGCCAGCAGCGGGAGCCACGGCCCGTGCTTCCCGCTGCTCCGCCCGCGCAGCGCCCACGTGACGGGCCGTGGAAAGCCCCTCCAACCCGGCGGGCGGCAAGGATTCCACGAATTGGAATGACGGGGCTCTCCGGATCTTCCCTTGACCGTGCGCGTCTAAACAGCGATAAACGGGAACAAGCGAGTGCCGAGAGGCGCCGGGCGGGGCTGAGGGGCCCGGGGGCGCGGCCTGCCTGCTCCGCCCCGCGTGACGTGACGCGCCGACCGGGAGCCATGGCGGCGGAGGCGGAGGTCGCTCAGGACCTGCTGTGGGTGCGGGACCCGCTGTGGCCGCGGGCGCGGCCGCTCCCGCTGCCCCCCGGGAGCGGCTCCGTGCGCTGCCTCCGCCGAAACCGCGCCCGGGAGCTGGTAAGTGGGAGGCGGGTGCGAGGCCCTCCGGCCTCGGGAGGCGCTGGGCTTCTTCCGGTGTCGGCGGCGCTGCGCAGGCCGCCCGCCCCGGCCCTCTGGCGCTCACGGGCTGTCGCGATCCCCACCTGTGGGCACGGTTGTTTGCGTTGTTGTCGCTTAGCTGAGCAGCAGGGTTTGCTGTAAGAGAGCCCTATAACCTGTTACCTATATTAGATGTTATATGTATATATGTGTGTGTATGTATATGTATGTGTATATGTGTGTGTGTAAGAGTTGGGCGAAATAAACACCTGAAGAAAAGTACAAAGATCAGTGTTTACAGAGCCATAGTGCTGTCTACTCTCTTATACGGATCTGAATCATGGGTCATCTACCGCCACCACCTGCGTCTCCTAGAACGCTTCCATCAACACTGTCTCCGCACAATCCTAAACATCCACTGGTCAGACTATGTGACTAATACATCTGTTTTAGAACAAGCAGCAGTCACAAGCATTGAGGCCATGTTGCTGAGAACACAGCTGCAATGGGCAGGGCACATCTCCAGGATGAAGGACCACCGCCTCCCTAAGATCCTGCTTTATGGTGAACTTGCCACCGGCTGCCGCATGAGAGGAGCCCCGAAGAGATACAAGGTTTCCCTGAAACAACATCTCGGCCTTGGCCATATTGATCAGCATAACTGGTCTACTCTGGCCTCCAATCGGGAGGTCTGGAGACACACCATCTATAACGCTGCTGATGCTTTTGAGAAAGCACGCAGGATCACCCTTGAGGAGAAAAGGCAATGCAGAAAGAATCGTGCCTTGCAGAATATACCACCTAAGGAGTCTTTCTGCTGTGCCTTTTGCAACCGGACGTGTCTATCTCGTATTGGCCTTTTTAGCCACCAACGCGCTTGCAACAAACGTGGGTAGAGCCCTTCCCAAATCTTTGTTCACAAAGCCCAGCCATGATGATGATGATACATACATACATATATATATATATGTGCACATGGTGGTGGGTTGACCCTGTCTGGAGGCCAGGCACCCACCAAAGCTGGTCTATCACTCCCCTCCTCAGCTGGACAGGGGAGAGAAAATACAACTAAAAGTTCATGTGTCGAGATAAAGGCAGGGATAGATCACTCATTGACTCCTGTCGTGGGCAAAACAGACTTGACGTGGGGGAATTAACTGAATTTTTTACTAGTCAAAATCAGAGCTGGGTAATGAGAGGTAAAACAAATCCTAAAAACATTTCCCCCCCACCCCTCCCACTTCCCGCAGGCTCTACCTCCTTCCCCCCAGTGGCACAGGAGGACAGAGAATGGGGGTTATGGTCAGTTCATCACAGGTTGTTTCTGAATTTTTCCCATAGCACAGCTTTTCCACTTTCATGTTTACAAGCTGATTTAGACTGTATTCAATCGTTTGGTAAACAGGAATTAAAACAAGCACCATAGAGAATGTTCGTGCTTTTAAAATTGTCTGATTTTGGCCTCCCTGCTGTTCCTGGATGAAGGAAGAAAACATCACTGCCTAATGATTTTCTTTGTCAGAATGTTTCATTTTTAGTTGATGATATAACTCAATTATCTGTTTCTTTTAGAACATTCCTGAAGAAAACTTGTATGTGAAGTGTAACGGGCGACTGGCCAGTGATGAAGATGTGTTGCAAAGTGGAGCTGTTTATAGTCTGGAGCCAAGACTTTGTGGTGGAAAAGGAGGTTTGTTCTTTAACTGCTTGCTACTGATTAGATTCTTAGGTTGAAAAAATTCTGCTATGCCATAGTCTATGCTGGTAGCAGGAGTTCTCATATACTACCAGATCTCTTCTCGTGTGTATGACTGTGATATAATGTCTCTGAACTGAAACCAAAGTGCACATGGAAAGCTGAGAATTGACCAGGGAAGCTGCAGTTCAGCTCTTCTTCACATCCCTGTTCAGCTTAGCTCTATTAGAAATCTGTATCGTGCACCAAAGTGACTTCAGAGTTGAAACTGTGTTGAAAAGGACCTGTTATCTTAGGATCCTGTTTCATCCACGGTCTCTTAGGACAAATGTTTCAGTTACAAATAGTCTGTGATTTGGCTACGTTATATGACCTAATTGACTTTCTTCTCTTATTTTAAAAAACACATAAGTGCCAAGATCTCAGTAGCTGAAGAACTAAAGAATTCAATCTAAGCTAGACACCTTGTATTGTCAAAATATTTTAAGTGTGTTACTGAAGGTGTGTATGAACATGGCCACCGACATCGTGGACATTCCCTAAAATGGAACATGAGGGGTGAAAGAAGCTTTGCAGAATATTTGAGTGTAGTTGGAGTCAATATGTTTGCTTTTTGAATGTAGTTCTCAAAATCTTAGTGAACGCATTGCTGCTGATTTTTGGGAGCATACCTGACTGGGCGTCGCAGCTTGGTCCACGTTCTTCAGTAGCATGTTTCATGAGCTACAAAATTTTCCTCACTAGTGGCAGCAATTGGGTTTATTAGCTGAAGGCAATACTTTTTTGCCTCATGATACAGTAGACTGTCTTCCTTGGTTACTCTTTATAACACGCCTTAGATGTCATTTTAGGGCACTGACATTGTAGATTTATTCATCTTCCAGTTAAAAAAATGATGGTTGGCACTTTGCAATTGCATGAAGGATTGTATTGCTATTAATCCACACTGTGTTTCTTTGAGCCTGTTAAACAAGGGTCTTTATCCAGCTGGAGACAGCATAAGGTGATACTGAGTGATAGAAAGTAGTGGTCTTGCCTTTGAGTAATTAGTGGCTGAGGAGTGTATAGAAATCAGTTTTGAGGGGCTCTCCAGAATAACTTTGTGCATAACAATCATCTTGATGAAGCAGGTAAGGTTATCTGCTAAAAAAAGCTATTTTATTTTTTGTTAGGTTTTTAAAAGGTGATTTAAGCTTGGTAGGGCTAAAGGGTCTTGTGGGGGGAAGGTACATTCCGACTAAATTAGAAAGGACACAAAAGTGTTAATTTGGGGTGAAAAAGGTTTCAAACCATTTTGCTGAGGGAGCCCAGAAATAGGCCTTCCTGTTAGAAGTGTTGCACAGGTTCTAGTAAATCTGGAGTCTCTGGTGTGACACCAGGAGCACAAAACCAAGGTGATTGGTAAACACTGGGTACCTTTGTTTTCCCTTAGTGCTTCAGCATTTCGGGCAATGACAGTTCTCCAACATGTGGCAGCTTTTAACTCTCCCTTCAGTTACATGGAGGGAGAGGAGAGCGTTGAATTCACTATATTCTTTTTCCATAATTAATTCTTTTGTTGTGTGCTAGGTCATATCCTTCTGTTTCTGTTTAGCTAATTCTTGATTACTTTTCCCTCTGTAAGGGTTTGGGTCGATGCTGCGAGCACTTGGTGCTCAAATTGAGAAGACAACAAACAGAGAGGCTTGCCGAGATCTCAGTGGAAGAAGACTTCGAGATGTCAATCATGAAAAAGCGTAAGGCATTTTCTTGGGAGTTGGAATTATAAAATAACCTGACCCTGTAGTTCACTGTTAACAAAAGAGGTCAAATGACAGGCTGTTGTAGCAGTGAAATGGTACTTTGAATACTAGAAAGAGCAAAAGTGAAATCTTTAGTGCAGATGGACTGGAAGCCAACAGGACTCTCCTGACTGTAGTTCTATTATTGTAAAATAGATGTGATTGTACTGCAGCCTGCTTCTGAGAGACTGCTCTGCACCTCTTGGATTCCTCATCTGGAATTCTCAGAGTTCTCCCTGAAGCTGCAAGAGCACATATTGGGGATATGTGACCTTACTGCTGTTTCTGGCTTTCAAAATAAACTCTCTTCTCTGTAGCAGAATCTCTGTCTGTTCCTTGAGTAGTTCCCCTGAACATTGTTACTTGACTTTTCCCGTTGTCTCCGTCATAGCGGGTGGTGAAAACATTCAGTAAATGCAGAGCAACCAACTGGCATTACATGAAATGCTGGAAACACTCATTTTCATGGTTCTGTCACCTGCAGGATGGCTGAATGGGTGAAGAAGCAGGCAGAGAGGGAAGCAGAAAAGGAGCAAAGGCGCTTGGAAAGGCTGCAGCGGAAGCTGGCGGAGCCGCGGCACACGTTCACAGACCCGGAGTACGAGCGGCAGTACCGTGAGATGGCAGAGCGGCAGGAGGAGTCCATCCGTATAGGTACTGCAGCTTAGCCTCGCTTTCTGTCCTCAAAACATAGAGCAAACTGACAGTCTCTCTAGCCTCACTCCAGCATGAAAACTTAAAAAAAAAAAATAAATTGCTGATGGTAACTCTTCCAGTTGAAGAAAGTTTTAAGATTCAGTAAAATGTGCTTGACTTAGTTTTTCCTCTTTGCCTGCAGTCTCTCTTAAATTGCATTGAACAGTGTAACGTAAAACAAGCGATGCTTCATCTTGCTGTGCGAGTGTCATCTCGTGATAAGAGCCAAATTCTGTGAAGATGGTGTTGAACTTTAAGAATTACATTATCAGTTTCAGTAAAATGATGAAACTATAAGTGGGTCTTACATAAAAACTAGATGTTGAATCCAGCTACAAAATACCTTGTTTCACTTCCTGGTTTTTGTAGTTACTTTATTTATCCACGGATTGTTCCCTTGTTGGCAGCTAGGTGGTGAAACTGAGGCTGAATGGGATGTAGAACCTGAGAGTTCAGGAATCCAATTTTAATTGACTCTGTGCCTTAGTAGATCCATGTAGGAAAGCTTTTGCTGCTACTGAGGTTATTATGAAGCTTTGAGTCTTCATGAATGTGCACCAGTAGTGATTCTTTTCCATTAGTGTTTTAAACTTCATCTGAAATGAAAACTGAAATTTACAACATATAGGAATTGTGCACTGCTGAAGGAGACTTTCAATTTTGTTTTGAAGGGTTGCAGGTTATTGCCAGGAAAGCAGTGTCATCAGAAAGTGGCAAGAGTCGGAAACGTCCCGGTGAACCTGGAAAGAGTGGAACAAAATCTGAAAAAAGAAAATGTCTTTGGTAAGTGTTATGCCTTGGTTCTATACTCAAGTCTCAAGCCTTCAGGATGAAAGGTTAGATAGGTACAAGTAAGCAGATTAAAATCTGAGACGTAGACTGAAATAGGAATAAGAAATCAAACTGATTAAATCAAAGAACTGAAAATAAACATTTCTGTGTTCCTATAATTCTGTCCCAGCTGGAACAGACAGACTTTATTTGCAAAAATAGGCACTTTTGTCTACCTCCCCTTCTAATATGGTTATATTCTACTGCTTCCCATTGTCCTGTTTTTCATTAATGAATTAAATTTACAATGAACTTTAAAGATTTTTTTTTTCCTGGCATCTTTAACCTAATGTAACATGAAAGAGAAGCCATGGAATTCTGGAATACAGAATGACTGATTCCAGTCATTTCTGTATTGGGAATGCTGTAAAGAGATATCTGTTTTGGGGGTACGTATGTCTTGTGCAACATCAGCAGCTCTTCCTCTAACTAAACTGTCCTAAATAACTGTCAGTTCTCTATATCTCTTTGAAAAGAGAAACATGACAATTAAATAAATTACTCTAAAAAAAAAAAAAAAAAGTTAAAATAGGTGTGTGTTAACTTGTAACATACTCCCCATGCCAGGCTGGGATTGGATGATGCCAACAATTCAGGCTGTGAGGATGACAACAAAGATGAATCCCCTTGTACATCTGACAGAAGTTGTCTGTCAAGCAGCAGATACAATGGAAATGTTGGAAATTCAGATGAATGTTCAAGCAGCGCCGTGGCTTCAGCAGAGGATAGTCCTTCTATCCCTCTATCCAGTGCAGCTTCTGCTTCAGAAAAAGATAGTCCAGCTACCAGTGCAGCTTCTGCTTCAGAAGAAGATAGTCCAGCTACCAGTGCAGCTTCTGCTTCAGAAGAGGGTAGTCCATCTACCAGTGCAACTGAGAAACCACTGGAGCAGCCAGAAGGTACTGGAAGAGATGTAGAAAGAGAGATGTGCACAGGTGGGCAGAATGAAATTCCGGCTGAAGAAAATAGTAAAATGACAAAGCCCCCGAAGGAAGAGGCCCAAGAAGAGAAAGAAGTGACCCAAGCTCAGAAACAAGAGGAACTAGAAAATGTTTCTTCTAAGGCACAGGAAACAAACCAGTTACAGAGCACAGTAAGTATGAAGCTGTACAAAACATATGTCTTTCTTCAGCTGCTTTTACAGCTGAGGAAGCAAATAAGCTTCACCTACAGCAATGGAGCTTTTCCCGCTGGACTGATGAAAGCCCAAGTGATCCTTGGCAGTAAAGGGTGCCAATACTTGTGGTTCATTGCTCCTTGCATAACATTACTAATAAAGATTTTTGAGGGTAATGAATCTAGATTTGTTCTAGCAATAAAACAAAGTATGGCTTTTTTTTTTTTCCAGGCTAGGGAAATGCTTGGATTTTCTACCTTTTTTCAGCTTGAGCAGAAAGTCTGCCATCAGCTGCCAATGACTGATTTCTCATATGTGAAAGTTTAATACAGTTCAATGGAAAAAAGACCAAGGATGTAACCTGATCAATTAGAACTTTGTCATCTACTGTACTGTTAGAGCTGGCAGATTTTATACAGGATGTTTACCATTCTTCACTGTTTACCTTTTGCTCAGTATTTGCGAGACTTTCTATTCTTAAAACAGGAAACTCCACCAATGCTGTGGCAGATTGTTATTGCAGGTGGAAATATTTTTATAGGAGTCCTTGATGATTTTATTTTTTTTTTAAGTAGGGTGAGAATAATGATACAACCAGTCATTTTTTTGTATGCTTAGCAGGACAAAGGTTCTAGTTCTGCTAGCGAGAATTGCTTTTGCTGAGCGCATAACAGAGTGGTCTCATTCCCACTGCTGGTATTACTTGCTCTGGGGTCTTTGATACATACCATAAGACTAATCTGTGCTTTCAAGTATTGAATGAAATGAGCATAGATTTTGGTGTCCTTTTTAGTGTGTTAGTGTTTGGTGTTAGTGTTTAGCATGTTAGTAAAATCTGGTATTTGAATTATCCAGGCCCCCGGGTTTGGACTACAGAGTCTGTAGAGGTCCCTTTTGCCCTCAATTAATTAGCAAATATGCTAATTTCCTTTTAAGATGAAATTTTAATCCTCTTTTTTTTTTTTTTTGTGGCAAGATGAGATGTGAACTTCAGAACTTGTTTTTTGGGTTAGTCTTACTAAAAAGAGGTGCTTTTATATCTATTTCTTTAATTACAGTGTAACTATGTTAGATATAACTGTTCATCTTCCTGCTCCTGCTGGAGGTGTATTGGTTGTATTCTGCATCAGGCTAAAAAGGAGCTATTAGCTTTACCAGGCCTCTGAAAGTCAAGGTTAAGTTACTGAACTGCTATGCAAGATGGTAGGCTGTTTTTAATTCAGCTTTCTTGGGAGTAGTGAACTTTCCTGGGGATAATTGTAGAATCATGGAATCTCCTGAGTTGGAAGGGACCCACAAGGATCATCGAAGTCTAACTCCTGGTCCTGCACAAGAGTCATACCGTGTGCCTGAGCACGTTGTTCAAATGCTTTTTGAACTCTCATTTCTCTTGCATGTTTTTCTCTTTGCAGGAGGTGGAACCGATAGACCTACTGGCGTTCAACTCTGCTGCTGAATTGGAAGCCCTGGGTTTAGATAAGCTGAAGATGGGATTGATGGCTTTAGGACTAAAATGTGGAGGCACTTTGAAGGAAAGAGCAGCAAGGCTTTTCTCAGTGAGAGGTCTGTCTAGAGATCAGATCAAGCCATCCCTATTTGCAAAGCCCTCTAAAGGGAAAACTGCTGGTTAGATTTGAGACCGTTTACCTTTTCGCATGTGTATTTGATGTCATTAAATAAAAGTTCTTGGTATCCTTTCAATTGAGTATCCCCAGCTTGTAAATTCACATCCACAAGATAAGCTTCATTAGCATCCCAAGGAGTTACGAAAAGCATGGGCAGGTGCTAAATGTATCATCATACTCAGACCCAGCTCTTGTGGATCTGTTTGACACAGTGTTCTGAAAATATAAACTGTAGGACTTAAGGGCTAAATTGTTAAAGCACATTTAAACTGTTCTCTGTTTACCTAGGTATGGGACCCAAAAGGAATGTACTTAGCAGTTTGCAGCTTTTCATTAGTAAAATCTGGTTTATATGATGAGCAGTGAGTGACTTAAGTGCTGCAAATGGTGGTAAGAAAATGTTTGGTGGAGGTAAAGCCTGTGACATGGCTGACAGTTTAATCTATCAGGGAGTCTTGGAAAATTTAGGGGGTGAAAGGAGAGGGAGGGATGAGAGAGACTTGGAGGTTCTGCTAATCAGATCTCATGGGGGTTGTGACAGGACAAGTGGACCCCGGGATAGAAAGGAAATAGGTTTGTTTACTGAATGTGTTTCATCAGGAAACTGGAATGAAGGGTGCCTGGGAGGTCACCTTGGCATGATGAGGTTTTGCTGGTGTAAATGCATCAGCTGGGAATGTTGTATGCCGGCAGCAGTCCCCGCTTGGGTGGCAAACCTTTGTGTGCTTACTGCCAGTTCTCTTAAAGCTCTCCTACAGTGCCTGGGTCGGGAGGGCCTTCAGCTCTATGAACACACACTCGAGCTCCTATGTAGCATGGCAGGGGTAGCATGGGCCAAAAATGAACGGGCCATTTTAATGATGTGTTATGACAACAGCTCTTGGCCAAGTTATTTCCCCTCACTGCATTCATGCTCTTGCCTCAGCTGCAGTGACACAGCCATTTCCCAGCCTACCCCTTGCGTCACCTAGTTGTCTTTTTTTGTTGTTGTGGGTTCCTGGTTAAGCCAGATCAGTCCCCTGATGGGGCATATGATGTCGCTCTAGCAAATTTGTGCCAGCACAACTGAAGCAGCATTACATAAAGTAGGGAATAAACACTGGTTCGTGAAGGAGGACTGGAATATTTTAAGCCAGCAGTAGTACCAAACACTTTATTGATCAACCGTGTGTTCAGTAGTGCCAGAATTAAAAGAAATACTCTACATCTGTCTTAAAGGACAATAGGTGCACCTTGAACTAGCTCCACCCTTTGGCACATTTATTTGAGAATTGTTTAGCTCCTGCTGAGCTAAACAGGAGCAAGCACTTGCTCTGGGCTATGCCCACCTGAAGGATTAACCTGGAGCAATAATATGTCTACTGTGTCTAGAGAGCCATAAGGCAGTTCTGGACTTCCATGTGCCCTTAGGGCAACTTGAAAACAGCTGGACAACAAACAGGACTCAGACTGATCTGTCAGCAGAAGAGAAATAAGTAGGTGAAGTGCTTTAAGGTTTCTTAAGAATTTGGACAAGAACAGAAAAGTCAACAGTTAAAAGAAATATATAAACAAACTGTTCCAATGTTATATGAGCTATTTCCACAGGACAGAACAGCCTCAGAATAGAGGTGATCTTTCTAGTCCAGGGCCAGAGGATAATGCAGAATTTGCAGCACCCTGCCTGTGTCTTTCTTTTCCCAAGGATTAATGCAGCTTTAGATTTCAAAGATGTTTCTGGTTGTAAATGCACCAAAACTGTGAACATCTTCCTAGAGAAAAGGTTCGTGCTCCCACACAAACACTTCCCCAACAAGCAAGTGGTGTGATTTACAGAATTCTTTTGAAGTGTCATTTTAAATGCATTTATTTCAACCGTCTAGAAGATCTAGAGCACTGCCTGTGTTTCACTGGCATTTCAGAGTTGCTGACTGAAAAGAAATAATTAGTGAAAACACTGGCACAAACCTAAGGGGGGGCTTTTCCTCACTTCATATGGATCCATTTCTTCCCTTGAAAGAAAGATAAGTACATCTAATACACAAAACATAGCAGGGAACGGGGCAGGTCACAGAGAGAAGTAACTTGTGGAGGTTTAGAAAGATCATCACCAGCAGACACAATAGCTGCCGGCCTTCAACTAAAAGGTTTCTTTCCCATTGTCCTCACCTGTATGGTCCTAATAAACGAGTTACTAAAAAACACTTAAGCGTTTTGACCTACCCGCCACCTGCTGGAGTGTGCGGGAATTGCTCCCTTTGGCTTGCCGAGTGCGAGAGCTTCTGCACTTGCTGCTGTAGGTGGCACTGAGCTAACGCGGAGACGTGTCCAGCTCCAGCATCGCTGCAAACCCTCAGCCCTCTGCACAGAGCTTCTGACCCGAAGCCATGGCTTTGTTCCATGGGCCGTAGGCACACGGTGCCACTGCGGAGCAGGGATATTGGGTCACGTTTATGTCGTTCTGCTTATGCCAGAAACGGTCACAATTAATCCTTGTAATCCCCCCCAAACTAATTCTTATCCAAGACTTTGCTTTCTGGAGAACGTTGACGTTTGAAAGGTTTGTTTGTAGCAATGCCTATTCTTAGGAAGGTGCTATTTTTAAATTTTAAAGCTTCCTCCAAGGCATTTAACAGGAGATGGTAATGACTGCACCCCTGTTAGTTAAAACAGCCACCTCAGCCGGCTTTCCATTGGTTATAGCTGAGCAGTAAGAGGGGCTTTGCAGATTAACATGCCAAATGGAACCTGAAGGTAGAGAAGTGACAACTGCTCTGGCCTCCTCCATCTGCTGAGGAGGGGATGGACAGGCACTGCTGCTTTCCTACACTGCTGGAGGCTGGGTAGGGGCTGGCTAATGTTTAGTCTGGGTTTAGAGCCAGCAGCTGTGCCTGCTTGGGAAATGTCCCAGTGGCCTGAACGCGCATGCTGCCTTGTCCTGCTTCTCCCTTTTGCATTTGCTGTGTGCCTCTAACCAGGCACAGGGAATCAGGAATTTGGACAAAACCTGGAGCACAAAAAGGAGCAAGAAGCTCTTAAAAGACATGTCTAGGCTGTAAGGAAAGAAGAGCAGTCTTTAAGGAGCCATCTGGCTTGTGAAACATCTGCTGGAAACACTACACATCTCAGTGAAAACATGGATGAGCTGCTCAGGGATGTGGTTGAGTTGCCATCCCTGGAAGGTACTCAAAAACTGTGTATATGTGGCACTTGGGGCCATGGTTTAGTGGTGGGCTTGGCAGTGCTGGGTTAACGGTTGGACTCCATGCTCTCAGAGTTCTTTTCCAACCTAGATGATTGTATGGTGTCTGGTGGTTACAGATGGTAGCTTATGGCCTGTGTGATATTATACCCAGCATACAGCAACTAGCTGAGACCTCCTGAGGGTGACAGAATTATTGACCACTGGGCTGGAAGTTGGCAGTCCCCTGAGAAGTAGTGATTACAAATTGATTGCATTCATTTTCAACAAACAGAAAACAGACTTTCAAAGGGGATACAGGTACAGGGGCTTGCAAAGGGGCAGATTTGTCATCACCGAGAAAATTAGAAGGAAAATTGTAAGCAAAAAAAACCCCATAAATAAATATTAGGAGTACCTTTAAAATGAGATTACTTAATAGCTTTAAAAAACCTCTAACCCCCTGATTTAATAGTTATCAAAAAAGTGTGCCAAGAGCTGTGGACTGTTGACATGACCTTTCAGTGCCCAGTATCTCCAGATAACTTATCTCCTGCCATGGTGTTTCTGAGCTATTCTGCACCTGCTGGTTTAACTGTAGGAAACCCTGGCACCCCAACAGCTCTGGAGGGCCCATGTACCCCCAGAACACAGGCCAGAGGCAGCAGCAATGATTGGCTTTTTATTCAGTTTTATTCTGAAATGCACAGACACTGTGCATGCTGCTGTCCTGCACCTGCTCCAGGAATGGACAGAGGAGCTCAAGTCTTCTAAAAATATCAAAGTCCTGCAGGATCTCTGCCACCCAGTACCTCCCCTCCACCTTTTCTGTTTGTCCTGAGTTCTCCTTTCCCAGCCTCCAGCTGTTTCCAGCCAAAGCCAGAGGAGTTCCCTGATTATCACCTTTGTTGGGATGTGGATTGGGCATCTGACTTTCCACTTCTACAGGCAATTAGAAGGCTGGCCTGAAAGGCAAAGTGTCAGACACTCTTGAAAGGAGTCTGTGAAATGCAAAGGGGAAAAAAAAGAGAGGGAGAGGAAATAAAGTCTCGCCAGCAGGGAAAAGCTGCAACTTCTCACAGAAAAGAAAACTGAAAAGCAGCCTCGGTTCAAATGAAACGGTGGAAACATCAGACAGGGCGATATAGCCCTGCTAGGAGTGGCATTTAATGTGGCTTGAAACTTTTGTTTTCTCCCCTAAAATGGAGATAATGGATAGAGATAAAAGATAACTAAAAGATAACAGAGAGAGAAAGTGCTGCTAGCATGCCCAAGCCTGGCTCTTAAAGAAAGCTTTCCTGAGACCAATAGGTCCAGCTTCTGCCCCCGTGTCCAGCTCCACTGACTATTGCAGGCCTTCACAGATCATCTTGTGAGCAGTTCCACAAAGGCTGGCCAGAGCTCACACTTGTGATAAGCTTTAGCTCGGGTGTGCTGCCACTGTGGATACTTACACAAGGGTTCAACTTTAAGTGCGGGACTAACAGGGCTGTTGGAGTCCTTCATGCGAAGAGCACACACTGCCTTCTCCTTGAGCAGCACCAGAGGGCTGTACACTTTCAGTAGTGCAGGAGGATGCCCAATGTTTTAATGCTGGTTTTGCCTTAAAACACCTTTACATTTTTTGAAATCGTTTCTGGTTATATGTTTTCGTTACGCCCCTGCACTGCTCTTCCGTTTATTTTTTTACAATACAGCATCAAAGTTAATGCTGATCCATGCTGCTGCCAGGTACGTAAGGCACGTTTTGCCTTTCCTTGGAGACTGTGGTGCTTGCTCAGCCGGAAAGGAGAACATGACAGCTTGGCAGCCTCTGTATGTGTTATAAGTTGTACCGATACAAGTAACACACAGAAGGTATCACAGCAAATGCAGCCTGGATTGAAAACGACAGGCTGGGAGATAATTTCCTGCAG